TTCAGCAGGGCCTGCAAGATGGAGCTCTTCCATCAGGCCTTTGACTAAGGAGCCGCATCAAATAACCAAGAAGTGACAGTGCCCTGGGCCTTGGCTTACCACCAACAGACGAGCCAACCACCAATATAGATCATCTGATTACAACACTAGTGTTGGTTCTGCCTTTTGTAAGCATTCTTATAAGTACCTGATCACTTACTAGCACTTTATGATAATGTAAAGTTTTATTATTTGTTTTAAGATTGTATACAATTTGTTACCTATATGCTTAATTTCTTTGTAAGCTGCCTTGAGCCCGCTCCGGCAGGGAGGGTGAGTTATAAATTGAATAAATAAATAAAGTTATTCATGAACTCTTTCGTTTCTCAACAGTTTTCTGCACTGCATCCACGAGCATTTTTTTCCCTTGTCCTCTTCTTCCATTGCTTTCTCAGCTCCTTCTAGCATGAGCTGTGCCATGTTGAATCCCACAATATCCATCACCTCTACTTTCATTGTCTCATATTTTAAGAGGTTAATTATGTTTCTATACTTTGTGGAAGATTTTACCAAATCACGATTACTCTTAGGAACAAAGTCCTTAAAGTACTTCATAAGTAAACTGAAAACAATCTGTTTTCTCACTGGGAAGTCATCGTTTCCCCCAAAAATGCAGTAATGAAAACAGAAAAACACAAACTGCATTAAAAAAAATCAAAGAAATACTGACTTTACTGACCAATTTTTTTAAAAAACTGACAAATTACTGACCATGATGAAAAAACTGACTTTTACTGATTTTACTGACCATTTTCCACCCCTGATGTATTGGCCTTGTGCAAATGGATGTAGTAGGAGCAAAAGAAAGTGAGCTGTGTTGTGGCCAGAGTGGTGCACATGCAGAATATGGTCATAGCAACCCTCTGTATTTGGCTTCTTCCTTAAAGGAAGAACTACATGCTTTGTGGAGAGGGTGTTAGCATTTCATGAGTTAAGCCCAAATGATGTGTGACTTTTTGTTAATTCAGTAAATATTTTGGACTGCAATCTTATGGCCACTTTTGTGAGAGCAAGCCCCAGTGAGTAGCACAGGACTGACTGCTGAGTAGACCTGCTTAGGATTGCTCCCTTTTGTCACTGAACTCAGCATAATTAATCTCCACAGTGTTTACTCTTATCTTTAGTTTCAGTAGTCCATTGTACAAAATAAGAACCGTTATTTCTGATAAGTCACTGAACTTCCAGGGACCTTCAGTAGGTTCTGTTGGATCAATTTTTAAAAGTTAGAGCATGTGCTACACAATGGTCTATAGCTCCTTTGTCTGGACATAGTGCCTTTCCGTTATGGGGTTACAATAATGAATAAATTATTTAGGTCCAGAACAACACAGACTGACTGCAAAATGACTTCCTTCATTTTCTGTCCAACAGATAGCCCAACTCGGTAAACAGGAAGTGAGAGCTCAGCACATTTTTCTGCCATTCCGCTGACTTTGAATTATCTAACTAATGTGAACTGGTTGGCCAATAAGAGCAAGTGGTAAACTTGGCTACACTGACAACTTTATGAGGGAGGGTGATGAAGAAGGAACTTCCATCACTTTGTTGTCTCAAGTCACAGCCTTGATTGTCACATTAACCTCGGGATTAAATTTGCAGATAGGTTTTATGCATCTCTTGTATCTTTTGAAAGATGAGTGAGGTTAGGCGGGTTAACTGTATAGCTGTTATGCAAACCAATGCAGTCTATATTCTATAAGCGTGTCCATAAATACAAGGACAGAGACTAATCCTAGAAAAGATGAACACTGGAAATCTGGGATGGCACAAACCAGCTGCAAAAAACTGGATGTGGTTGGAGTAGTTCTCCCACCTAAAAAGCAAGACAGATAACAGTGCTTGGGAACTGATGCACAATGGGCTGGATTTTGCAAATTTGCTCCATGAAGGGTTGCCAACCACCAGGTGGGGCCTGGGGATCTCCTGAAATTATAGAGATCAGTTGTAGAGATCAGTTCCCCTGGAGAAAATGGCAACTTTGCAGTGTGAGCTCTATGACATTATACCCCACTGATTTCTCTCTAGGAATTTCCCAATCCATTGTTGGCAGTCCTATCTCCACAAATGTCAGCACCTTCCTCCACATATGAACTTCAGTGAACACACTGCAAACATTACAAAATTCCTGCATAGGAAACTCTTACGGGTATACAATAGTGTGCAACCTCTCATCTATTCCTTGACATATACATGTGCTGGGAAGCTGTGATTAGCTCTAGATTTCCTGTCAGGTGTCTACTATACACATACAAAGGAAAATATGTTCAACTACCCAATGACTATCTATATGTAGGCTTCATGAAATTGATTTTTTCATGAAAATGTTGTGTAGATTTCTGTTATGTCTGGTGGGCAATCTTCAAAATATTGAAGCAGCAGGTCTGAGGTGAGCCTCCTTACTAAAACAAAGATCCTCTTATTTCTCACTCATCCATTTTCTGATTGCTCTTGAATGTTTAATTAATGAGAGGAATCAGCTAACAGTGCCTCAGTGAAGTCATCTTGTGTTTCTCCTCATCAACACTTGTGGTCAATCAGAAAGCTTTTTGGAGGAAAACAAGCTTTACCTTTTGTAGCATCACATTGCCTTGGTGTGCATTGACATTGTGCCGGCTGATTTCTCTTTTGTATTGATACTCATAGACTTGATTTGTGATGTTAACAAGCAGAGTGGGCGGGCTAACGTTGATCTTCTCACAATGATAGACAGTTCCGTTTTCAAGGTCAGATGGTGCCGTTGCATACCGCAAAATTAATCCCATGATGAGGCCTGAAGAGAAAAATACCAGCATTTCTTATTGTACCGACCATTCTGATGAGAAATATTACTCTCAGCATAGGCATATTTTCAGAACGCTTTGGCACTTTTTCATTTTGAAATTTTACTCGTATTGGGAATTCCACAGAGTGATTACAGATATTCTCAGGGAAATTATATATGGACAATTCATTCATTTCCCTTGAGGTCGCAGTTCTGAGGTTTTACAGTATATCGATGTGTAGCATGCTCAGAACCCTGAAGGAATGGGCGACAGCGCTGCATACTGTAGATAAGAATCCTGTGATCAGGGTTATGTGTACATTGTATTTAAAAATACTCTGTGCCAACAAACTCCCAAATCCTTTAAAAACAAACAAACAAAAAAACCCCACATTGGGTGATGCTTAGAAATTGTGCATATCTATATATCTAATAGTGTACTGGCCCCCTCTGTGCTGATCCTTAAATCCGGACATCGGGGGCACTTGGGGGGGAGGGACGCCGCTCGCCCGTCGCTTCGGGGCCGGAGGGGGGGGCGGCGAGGAAGCGGGGTGGGCTCCCTCTCTGGGCTGTGGGGCTCGGAGCCGGGGGGGAAGAGAACACGTGGAGACCCAACTAGAACACAGTAGGCAACATTTTGTTGCGGGTCTCCACTTGTATATATATTTACTTATATTGTACAATCTTACTGTGCCCTGTTATATTTGTGGGAAGGGCTGAAAAGCCCTGCCATACTGTAAAGCTTCTTCTCACTGGACCACTGGCAATCCTATTCAGTCCCTTCCTACCGTTTTGGGCCTGCACATTTGCAAGCTGATCTTTACAGCACCAAAAATGTGCTTTTAAAAAAAAAAGTACTGTGAGTCCTAGGATTCCTGATGCTATGTCTTGGGATTGTGGAATCATGGAATACATTACTCTGCCTGTGATGAGGATGATGAAGCATTGCTTGACCCATACCAGTTTCGTTCAGGGCTTTCCTCTGCTCCTAGCCTTTCTTTCCGGGGACTGGGTCAGAATAATTATGGCTACAGTTCTAAGGACCATTTTTCCTTGAAGTTTCCCACTGAATAACAAAATACTTATTTCTGACTAGACCTATTTAGGATCCCTCCCTTCATAACATAGCAACAGAATGACCAAAAAAATAAATAAATAATGAACAGGAACCAGTGGTAAATGGAGTAGGATAAACAAATAAAGAAAGAAGCAAAAGAAAAGAAATATTGGAATACACTGTTGATGTATGCCTGAAGCAAGCCTTAAAAGAGGACAGCCTTGCTGAACAGTAGAGTTATTACATTCCTCATCTAAATACCCTAAGCCCTGTGCCCACCATGTATACTGAAATCTTTAAAATAAGCCAAACAACACTTGTAGTGGAAACAGGCCATAGGCAGTCTTCCTGTGTATTCTGTGGGATGGAAGGGCAGAGGGAGGAGGGAAAAATGCTACAAAAACTGTCAAATGAGACTATTAGATCAAAAGCCAGGAGTCAGACCCAGGAGGAAAAACACATAACACCAGTCTTACAAAAACAACAAGATCCAACACTGGTACAAAAAATGCAATCAAAGAAATGAACTCCAAAAGTTCACACAGGTGATAGAAATGCCAACAGTATTACATAGCCAAAATTCCCTGAAATAAATTCTGCACTGCACTGCAAGTACACTTTAGATGTATTTTTGAATCCCAGTTTTACTGCCACAAATTTCAGTCAAACACTGGTGTACTTGGCTGATTGCACTGTAAATGTAAAAGGTATGGCATTTGCTTCTAAGCAAGAATATTTAGGGTCAGCTGCAAATATCCATGCTACCTTTGCCAAAGCACCATTTCTAAGGACAGATGTGACATATGGATCCAGTTATGTTCCCATTTGTGTGCAAACTAGGGGATTGAGGGTAACAGGTTTAACAGAAAAATGGACCAAACAGTTATAAGGAAGCTAAACTCTGTTCCACCTAAATTCCCAGTCCAGTTTCCATTTATAGGGTTGCCAGCTTACCAGCTATAGTGGACTATCTCCCACCACTGCTCCTGCTGCCCTATAAAATGGGGAGAAGTTGTTTATGCCACTTCTCGCTAAAATCTGGAAGTGACATCACTGATGCATTAAGATTTTGCCCATCTCAGTGAAATCCTTGAGCAGAGATCTCCAACCTTTTGATAGGATTCCCAACCTCCAGGCGGTGGCTGGAGATCTCCCACTATTACAACTGATCTCCAGGCGACAGAGGTCAATTCACCAGGAGAAAATGGCCACTTTGGAAGTTGGACTCTATGGCATTATACCCAACCGAGGTCCCTCCCCACCCCAAACTCCACCCTCCTCAGGCTCCACCCCCAAAATCTCCAGGTATTCCCAATGCAGAGCTGGCAACCCTACTTTTTGAGCCTGTGGGCACAGCCACAAAATGGCTGCTTCAGGAGGCAGAGACAACCACAGAATGACAGGGAGTAAGGTTATGCATAATTCTAATGATAGCTCTCCAGCATTTCATGCAGAAGCTCTGATTAACACAAAGCTTTTATAAATGAACAAATTGTTGAAAAAAATATTTTCTTATCTACTTATACAAATGATTTGTTAAGGCTTGGCTGCTCCACTTGTAGTAGTACAATGCTGAGGAAAATGCTGAGTAAAATATTACAGCAAATAGTACAAGTGGCAATAAAAAGAGACATAATTAGTTTGTGTCCCAGCAGGTATCTGTTATCTGAAGTAGCCTTCTGGCGCCTGGAAGAGATAATGTTCCCTAATGGAGGGTTTCCAATTTCAGTGAGCTTTCTACAAACAAACAAACAAACAATGGACTATATTGCACAGGAGCTATGTAAGTGCCATCAAGTCACAACTGACTTATGGTGACCCCAGCAAGGGGCCTCCAAGGTGAGTGAGAATCAGAGGTGATTAGCCATTGCCTTCCTCTGCAAAGTCTTGCTTTAAAAACAACAACATTGTTTATTGATATTTCAAAAGTATACATAAACATAAAGATGTCAATGGTGGTCTATATTGAACAGTAGCCCTAGTTTTATCCAGTTATTGCTACCAGTTTCATCATTACACTATATTTACCGGCATGTAGAAATAGTAATATAGCAAGTAAGAACGTCAGAGAAGCCATGTTGGATCAGGCCAATGGCCCATCCTCTTCACCACTCTGTGTCATAGTAGCCAAAACCTAGGTACCATTAGGAAGTCCACTAGAAGGGCCAGAACTCCAGAAGGCCTCCCACTGTTGCCCCCCAAGCACCAAGAATACAGAGCATCACTGCCCCAGACTTAGTATTCCATCTATACCTTGTGGATAATAGTTACTAATGGACCTCTGCTCCATTTATTTATCCGGAAAGGGGTTGAAAGGTCCATTCCACAGAACTCAAATGCTTTAATGGTATTTCATTTTATTATTTTATGTTTCAAATTTATAGTCTGCCCTCCCTGCAAATGGGCGCAGGGCAGATCACAACAAATAATTAGGCCATTTGGCATCACAAAAGGCAATAATAAATAATTCATTCAAACATTAAACCAAAGGCTGGGGCCAGGGCAGAGAAAGCCCTGATCCTGGTCGAGGCTAAACAGACATCTCTCAGGCCGGGGTAGGGTTGCCAACCGTGACTTACCTCGCCGGCGGGGGACTCCTGGGGGATCCCGGTGTGTGCGCGCACGCACAAAGCGTGTGCGCGCCGCATTCGCGTCACAGGGCAATGACGTCATGACGCCGAGCACGCTGGGGGCGGGGGCATGACCATACAAGGGAAAACCATAGAGTTTTCCCTTGTATGGCCGTGGCCCCGCCCCCAGCGTGCCTGGTGTCATGACGTCACTGCCCTGTGACGCGCACGCCGGGGCGGGGTTCCACCCGGGGCCTGATTCCCCGGCATCTGGGAACGGGCCTCTGGGGCGGGGGATTTTCCGCCCCCCGGGGGGATTTGGCAGCTCTAGGCTGGGGATAACCAGCAGATCTTGATCAGCAGAGTTTAAGGCTCTCTGGGGCATATATGGGGAGAGATGGTCCCTTAGGTATGTCAGTCCCAGGCCGAGCAAGGCTTCAAGTACCTTGAAGCGGATCCGGTACTCAACTGGTAGCCAGTGCAAGTGGCGTAGCACCGGCTGACTGTGTGCCCACACAGGCAACATAGTCAACAGATGTGCCACCGCAGTTTGCACCAGCTGGAGTTTCTAGATCAAAAATAAAAATAAACCATTCCAGGAGAGGCTCCAGCACAAGGTTGATGAGGTAAAATACATTATCAGTTGATACTGTTGAACTTGAAATCAACAAGGATAGGGAGTGGTTTTCTTACTACCTAATATGTGGTCTGTTTACCAGGTACATTGTGTCTCCATGGCTGTAACAGGATGGGGGAGGGAGGTTTCCACTGATTATGACTGGGTCTGGAATTCATTTGTGTTTTAATAAATACTAAAATTTATCTGCAGCAAATGCAATAGATGCGAGACTTTAAGTACAGCAGATGTTTTTAATCAATATTGTCAGGTCACTAATGGAGCTCTTGGTCTGTGACAGCTCCTAAAGGAGCAGAATATAGACACATTTAATTCCAGATATTAGAAAAATGAATGAATGCCCCATATGGGGAGCCACTAGAGACAATTGTTGCAGCACTAATTTTGAATATTACATGAGCACTTAAGCCGAATGGTCAAATTTCAGAAGTGTTCACCCTTTCTCCAAGATCAGGGCAGCTAAAGATCATGTACATAAAACTTTAGTGCTTAAGTATGTTTCCACTGAACTCCACATAATGATCCATGTGGTACGATTCCCCTAAGATAGTACTCTGTAAGGCTGAGGTGGGGGAAATCACATATTCAAATAATCCCATTTTAATGCCCTCCCTGCATGCTGAAGGCTATCTTCTCAGGGATGGATTGGCCATTAAGGCCACCAGAAAAAATGCTAGGGAGGCCAGTGGTCTGGGGGCTAGCCCCTTGGGCCTGAGTGGTCACCCCAGCCCCATGTTAGGGACAA